CCAGGTGTGATACAATCATGTTTCAGGCCATTCACCAGTGTTACAGGTGTGTTACACCAGTGCCAGGTGTGATACAATCATGTTTCAGGCCATTCACCAGTGTTACAGGTGTGTTACACCAGTGCCAGGTGTGATACAATCATGTTTCAGGCCATTCACCAGTGTTACAGGTGTGTTACACCAGTGCCAGGTGTGATACAATCATGTTTCAGGCCATTCACCAGTGTTACAGGTGTGTTACACCAGTGCCAGGTGTGATACAATCATGTTTCAGGCCATTCACCAGTGTTACAGGTGTGTTACACCAGTGTCAGGTGTGATAGAGGCTTGTTTCAGGCATGTAACCTGTGTTACCTGTGTGTTACAGGTGTGTTATGCTAATGTCAGGTGTGTTACAGGCATTTGTAGGTATGTCACCTGTCTCACAGCTTGTGTTACTGATGTGTTACAGTTGTGCTGCATGTGTTGACTGATTTCTGTCAGATAAATAGTTTCTTGGTGTTTCTGGGTCAAATCATTGAGCTTCCTGTTCTGTTTTTGATTTTCCTAAACGTTATAATATTTAAATCATGAAAACGAAACTACGATGTCAGACCAAGGCTGATCTCATGAGCTGAGCAGGACTTTGTAAAAAACAAGTCAAGCTCTGCTGTGTTCTGACTGGGCGGGGTGGTTTCCATGGTGACTGTCTTTAATTAGAAGAGCAATTAAAGAGGTTGAACATCCTGCAAAAAGACACACATACACACACACTTCGTCCTCTCTGGGGACAGGGAGGTATCTGGTCTTCTTACCCATAATCCACAGGGCTGATTTGTCTTGAAAGAGGACATTGCACTGCTCTCTGCTCAACTGTCCAAGCAGCTTCTAAAACATCTGCAGCTACAAATAAAACATCTGTATCCCTGGCAGGAGTAAATTCCCATGAAGTCTGTTACCACTCTTTATCAGTCCAGCTGTCTCCAGTATTAAACCAGTCAATGCTCTTTATGTTCAGCCCTTTGTCACCACTTTTCAGATCAGCATTGCCATCTACCTCCTCGTGTGCTGCTGGTTTTCTCTCATCATTTTCATAAAGAATTGGCGCCGCCACGCCGGCCATTGCTTTTCCCTTTGTATTAATAATAAACAGTTTTACTTTGAGTTTCCCAAGTCTGTCTGCATCCTGGATCCTTTCAATGATAAACCATCCAACTCATTCAAACATCATCAACAACAACAACAAAAAAACTTCTCATAATGATGTCATCTTATTGCATCAACTCTGATGGGTTCCCATTACAATAAATAAAGATCTGACTGGTTCCCATCAGGGCTGTTTCAGAAAGAATAAAAACCTGATATATTCACATTAGACAAAATATAAACCTGACTGGATTCCAATGGACAAAATGTAAACCTGATTGGTTCCCATTAGAGACAATAGAAACCTGATTGTTTCCCATAAGACAGAATAGAAACCTGACTGGTTTCTAAAGCACAAATTAGAAACCTGCGTACCCTCAGATGGGTCCAGTCTCCGGGCTCGGCGGCCATGTTTGGAGTTGTTGTGTACGAACATGTTGTCAGAGACAGCGAGAACATGACCGTCCACGTTCACAGTTGTAGAAACCACCACCTGTAAAAAGAGAGAAAACTTAATTTAGAACTTGTTAAAGAACACTCTGGCTCCGCCCACTGGCTGATGTCATGACATTGGGAACCTTCATTTTCTAGATGCTGTGATTGATGTGTTGCTGTTGGTTTATGGTGACAGAGTAGGTCCCACAGACGGCTGGAAGACATGACTAACCAGAATATCTGTCGCCCTGCGGTCACCATGGAAACCTGATAAAAACCTGGAGGGTTCACCTGTCTTTACCTGTCTTCACTTGTCTTCATCTGCCTCACTGGTCTGAATTTAACTGGATTGAACTTCCTGTCAGGCTGTGCAGCACGGCGTGGAGCCGACTGTCTATCTGAGGAGGATTCTTCCTTCACTTCCAGCTGCAGCAGGGTCTGCAGACAGCTGAAAGGTGGATAAATACTGGTTTTCAGCTTCACCTGTTAGGAGGGCTGTTTGGCTATTATCTTATCTTATCTTATCTTATCTTATCTTATCTTATCTTATCTTATCTTATCTTATCTTATATTATT